ACAACACACACCCATACCCATAGGGAGGTCGTTGGGAGGAGGACTGGCTATGGGTATGGGTGCGGGTTGTCCGACCCTGGGGAACGCTCCCGTTCGAGCGGGGACCCCCATCCGACAACACGCACCCATAGCCCTCTCCGATCCTCCTATGGGTATGGGTGTGTGTTGTTGGTTCGTCAACTCTGTCGGGATTCAGGGGGTCCGTCCTGCATCCTTGGAGCGTGCGTCGAGGGCGCGGCGGCCACGCAGCCCCAGCCGCCACGGCGGACGCCTAGCTCACGGAGCTCCCCCCGCAGAGGGTGAGCAGAGGCCTCCTAGATGGGGTCGGAATTAAATGGGGTCGTTGGAGGCCTGGAAATGGGCACCAACACCAACACAGGGGTCTGCCTCCACAGGGGGAAGATGATCCTAGATTTCGGTGTTGGTGGTAATAGTTCGGCCACTTTGGAAGCCAGAATCTTACCACCATCACCGAGATCGGGATCTTCTTCCCTCGGTGGAGGCACGCCGCCGAAATTGGTGTTGGTCTCAAGGGATACATCGCCGATGCAGCGGAAGCCGGGCAAAGGGCTGCTAAATCCGTAACTGCTAAAATCGGCCTCGGGGAAGTTGTCTTCGTCCTTCCGGAAAGAAGCCCGTTGACTGTTTCGCGTGCCGCACCTTCTTCCGGGAAGTTGTTTTTTCCTTCCGGGAGGACCGTTTTAACAGCCACGGCTATAGCAGCCCTCGCCCAGCTTTCGACACTCCCGGGGGCGATTTGCAGGAAATCCCAGAACCGATCGATCGGTTTGCCCGACCCGACAACCCTCGAGCCTCCCTGCGCGATGGGGCCAAGGCCGCCGAGCGCGGCGGCCCTCCTGGACGGAGCAATGGCAATTCACGACACTGGCCCACCCTGGCACCGCGCGGCGGCCCTGGCCCACCCTGGGCAGCAGGGCTGACCCAGACGTCGGTTTTCGTCGTCTTCGTGCTGTTTTTCGTTTTGCTCTGCCTGTTTTCCTGTAGCCCCCTGCCAGAACGAGAAACAAAACACAGCCGAAGTCCAGCAAAACAACATTCAGGTCCAGCCCTGCGATCAACCAGGGAGCCAGCCTGGCGTCCCCGCCGCCGCCGAACCTGTTCGCCACGGCCCCGCGCGTGGCTCCAGGTGCGGACGGCGGCGGAGAGGAGTGGCTGGAGGAGGGCGGGAGGGGGCGACGTCTAGGTCGGGCGTGTCTTCCTACAGGGGGACTTTGGACGAACAGTTCAAACATCCCCCATACAGAATCAAAACTATTCAAAACGTTGTTCTTCGTTCTGCAGAGTAGGGCTGGACCTACACGTTGCTCTTCGTTATGTTTTCGTTTAGGTCGGGCGTGTCCTCCAGCAGGGGGGCCTTGGACGAACAAACCAGACACATAGCCCAAACATAGTCAAAACCAATTAATTCATGATGTACGTCCAGCCCGCGCCGCGCGGATGTCTTGGATCTGCGCTGGATCCCCCTCCCTGGCGCGCGGAGCGCGCCAGGGGCGGCGCCAGAGGCGCCGCCGCAAGAAAGCCGCGCGGAGCGCCAACAACTTATGTTTATGGCGTGTTTTCTTCCTCGACTGCAGGGCGCGCGACGGCCCTGGCCCGCCCCCGTGGGCAGCAGCATGTAAGGAGCCGAGCTCTATGCACCGAAGCTTTTTCTGGCCCCGCACCGAAACTCGCACAGGAAACCGGATCCTGGTGTATACGGGGCTTTGGTGTATACATGTGCGTTCTTGCCACGGGACAACTGGGAAACAAGTATACACCACACCACCCCGACGTCGTCGCCGACCCTCAAAATGTCTTGGGTTTGCAAAGCCGCCCGCCACTTCTTTCTTTTCTTTCACATTGTTAGCGCCGATATCTGAACTAGCACAACGTGTCAAAAAACGACTGCAGCGCACAGAGATCATATAATGCGGCACGATGTCCCTGCCTTATGGCGGTCCGAGAGCCCCCACCCCTCGTGGAGGCCCCGAAGCCGACGGACGTGTCCAGTTTCCGAGCAAGAGCACGAGGCGCGAGCGGCCCGAGGACTCTGCGCGGGCGGCGGCCGCGCCTTTCTGCCTCTGCCCGGCAACCAAAAGGGCACGCGCGCGGGAGGCCGGGGGGCCACTACGCACGCGGCGGGCCCGGCCAGTCTTGCATCGAAGGCGCATTGCGCGAGGAGGGGGAGGAGGAGGAGGAGGGGGAGGAGGAGGAGGAGGAGGAGGAGGAGGAGGAGGAGGAGGAGGAGGAGGAGGAGGAGGAGGAGGGGAAGGAGGGGGAGGAGGAGGAGGAGGAGGAGGAGGAGGAGGAGGAGGAGGAGGAGGAGGAGGAGGAGGAGGGGGAGAAGGACAAGCTAGGTGCGCTCGCGTCATATCTGACATCATACCCCTCCCTCCCATCCCTTGCCATGGCGCAAATCCCCTCTATACTCGCACAGTCGGAAGTCGAGCAGGGCAGTGATCCCGAAAGGGTACGCGATGCATTGTCACAGCATGGCATG